TTTTTTTTTTTTTTTGGTCTCCTAGGACCTTGTCTTTTTCTCAAGCAAAAGTTTTTTTCAGGCCAGTTTCAGTGGCTCACACCTGTAATCCCAGCACTTTGCAAGGCCAAGGCAGGCAGATCACCTGAGGTCAGGAGTTCGAGACTAGCCTGGCTAACATGGTAAAACCCCATCTCTACTCCTGAGTAGCTGGGATAACAGGTACGCACCCCCATGCCTGGCTAATTTTTTGTATTTTCAGTAGAGACGGGGTTCCTTATGGAACCCCAAGAATGTAAACAGATAAGTTTGTCTCAGATCTTAAACTGCTTGCTTTTGTATCATGTTACCTGATTTTTTTTGACTAACAGAGTTATTACAACAGAGGCTACTCTTGGGTTTGAGACTGAGTCTCACTGTCGCCCAGGCTGGAATGCAGTGGCATGATCTCAGCTCACTGCAACCTCCTCCACCTAGGTTCAAGTGATTATCATGCCTCAGCCTCCCAAGTAGCTGGGATTACAGATGCATCCCACCCCACCCAGCTAATTTTTATATTTTTAATAGAGACAGGGTTTCACCATGTTAGTCAGGCTACTCTCAAATTCCTGATTTCAGGTGATCTGCAACTACCTCAGCCTCCCAAAGTGCTGGGATTACAGGTGTCAGCCACCATGCCCAGCCAAGGAAGAGTGTAATTTAGACATTTAGACATGTCTTTGTTTTGAAAAAAAAAAAAAAAAAAAAAAAAATTGTTTTTAAGTGCACTGTAAAAGCATCATGTGGTCTAGCTTCATAATAATTCTTCCTTTTTGGAGACACAGGATTCAGTGTGGGCTCTGTGCAGAGCTCTGGGATTTAGTTAAAAGATAAGTAGCCCCTATCTAAATAAAATTGATCTCTTTATACAATCCTATGATACATTTCTGTAATTTTATGTTTGATTTGGTATCCATCTTTAATCTCCCTCTACCACCACCAGATTCCCTTTCTGTACTTTGAGATGTAAATTTTGCTTCTGATTTTTTTTAACCTAAGAGTTCCTTTAATATGCAAATTTAGGGCTACCTAGCTGACAATGCCTAGTGTAATAAAATACGTTAACAAGAAATTGAAAGTCTAAAATAGGAGAAAAAATTAGAAGACTTATATATCTGTAAGATTGTCTTCTCTCTAGTGTCTAATATATCTATGTATATACGTGTCATGCATATGATGTTTTAGTCCTTAAAATGTATAAAAGAGCTCTAATTAATTGGTTTTAAAAAGCTCTTAAATCAAATACTTTATCAGAAAAACAGAGACTTTAAGCCAAATGCTTTTTCAAGTTCACACGACTTAAGTAAACTTTAATAAATAAATTGGTTTTAAAATTTTTGGTGAAATAAAATTAGAAATGGCTTCAGAATTGTCAACATACATTATCTCTGCTAGAGGTCAAAATTTGGCATGAGGATTATAAAGCTGTGAATGCAGCTCAAAAAAAAGGATTATCTTTGTTTGTGGGCAATGTAATAAATAAGGCAGTTAATATTGTTTGGTTAATGAAAACACCTGAGTTATTGGCAAAATCCTGAGTTATTGGCAAAAAAAAAAAAAAAAAAAGAAAGAAAACCAACAAATCCATCTATCTAAACTTAAGTTTCTTACTTATGAAAACCTGAAATTCACAGGTCAGAAAAATGGTTAACAAGAAAATAGCTTTAAATTATAACTATCACAGTTTCAATAAGTAATCTGAGTAAACTATTTTTAAAAAATTAATTACTTAGGTAAATGGAATAAATGCTTGTAGATAATCTTGTCATATAATTTAAAGTCCAAAGTTATATTAAGCTAAATAATAGATATTCATTAAATGTCTGGGCCATTTCCAATTTTTTTTTTAATTATAGGAAAACATTTTTCTCAAAAACTAAAAGAAAGGTGTTCTTATTTAAAGGAAAATAATTTTTATCCAATTTAAAGGGAATCAAGAGTTATTTAAGAAATTAGGTAAAGGTAATCAGTGAATAAGAACAATGTGAAGAAAGTTATAAACATAAAGAGATATTTGGGCAAAAAATGTTAAAAGGAAAATAATTTTATATGGGAAAGAATCTTGTATGGTAAATTTTTGTCCTAAAATAAAATAGTTATTTAAGAAAGAAGAATGTCTAGGATGAAACAGGAAGTCCAAGCATGTCATAAATGATTTGTGTCAAGTTGTCTATAAAGAGAATTTATAATAGTATTTTTAAAGATGGGGGTCTTGATGTTTTAAAAAAAATACACTAAAGAGTTGTTTATAACAATAAAATTGTCTTAAGGGATTCATTTACTCTTAATAAATTAAATGAGATTTTAATTTTTTTAACCCAAAGTTCAATTTTTATTGCATCTCGCCGTTTTTGGTTTTCTCTCCCCTTTTAAAAGGTGCAAAATAATAATGTTCTTCTTAAACTCATTTTCAGCTCATGTAAGTTTTTTTGGCTTGGGTTCTGTTTGTTGCGACCTGATGCTAAAAATGTTTTCTTTTTGATAAATAGTTTTTTTATTCCTCCTCCTCCTCCTCCTCCTCGTCTTCTTCCTCTTCCTCTTCCACTTTTTTCGGGGCAACTTTAGCGGGACCCTTTGCACCATCAAACTTTCCTTTCGACTTATAGTCAGCAACATCCTTCTCATACTTCTCCTTCAGCTTTGCTGCCTTAGTGATGTACGGCTGCTTTTCACTGTCATTTAGGTTATTCCACATCTCACCCAGCTTTTTTGTCACGTCTCCAATAGAGATGCCAGGGTTTGTGGATTTGATCTTGGGGCAGAATTCTGAGCAGAACAGGAAGAAGCCAGAAGGTGGCCTTTTGGGGGCATCAGGATCCTTCTTCTTCTTGCCTCCCTTAGCTGGTCCATAATCCTTCATTTCCTGATCATAGTTCACTTTATCCACGTTTGTCATTTCATCAAATTTAGATTTCTCTTTCCTGGATATTGTCTTCCACCTCTCAGAGCATTTCTTGGAAAATTCTGCAAAATTGACAGGGACCTCTGGGTTTTTCTTCTTATGTTCTTCTCTGCACGTCTGCACAAAGAAGGCATAAGCAGGCATCTTGCCGTTTGGTTTCTTGGGGTCACCTTTAGCCATCCTGACTGTATTGCTCGCTAGTCTGGGCAGCACAGGGCACGACGCGCTGCTCAGCGCTCCCCAGCCTCGCGCTAGCTGCCTCCACGAGAGCCTCCTCAAAAATGTTTTCTTAAAGGTCTGTTTTCTTCCAATATAATATTTTGTGAACTGCAAAAGTTCTTTTCTTTTGCATTTTGGTAACTGGACCAACAGATTTTACGTTTTATCAAAGCAATTCCTATGCCATTACTATAAAGTTTTGGTTTGCTTAGGGAAAAAAACTGAGATTAAAAAAAAGTTTTTAAATTAAGCTTATTACATTGGTATATCTTTCTGTATGTGCTGTTAAAGTTCTGTGCCATTGAGTTAAAGGGCTTTGACTTCTGGGTCTAAAAAGGACACCAAGTCCTGCTAAATCTTTAACAGCAATTATATCCTCATCTTTAGGCCTGGTAGAAGATGCCAATCAAAATAAACTGCCTTCATAAGACACAGGGCCAGAAATTAAAACTATTAAACTCCTCAAGACCCAGGGAATATTACAGAAGAGATGGGCACATGAGATTGTATAGGGCCAGTTTTGAGAGATAAATAAGTTTAGTTTCTCTATAAATTAACCATAATGTCAAAGGCACACTGATGCAAGACCAGTATATGAACCCCAGAGTCAGATTAACAAGGTTTTCTTGGAGCATTAACCCATTCCTTAATAAAAAACTATAAAGGTTATAAAAGGCTTATGGAAGGTATATCTTATGGTCAAGATAATTAAAATTGTATAAGTTGTTTATAAAATTTTGGAAAACAAATGTAATCAGCCTCACACTGTTTTTATTAGGGCTTATTGTTTGGGAAATTAAGTCTTCTCTCTCAAAGAATAAAAGTTTTCACCTTTTTTTTTTTTTTTTTTTTTACAATTTTTAAATAAAGATTTTATTTTAAATTAGTTTTAGATTCACACTGAAATTGGGAAGAAAATGCAGATTTTCTGTTGTTTTCACCTTTTAAAAAAAAATCTTTGAATTATCAGTTTGGTTAAATGAATGACTTATTTTATAATGGCCTGTGATTGTGATCCTATTTTGTTATATTGAGCTTTTCAAATTTTTTATATTTGACCAACTTTCCAAAGTCAAATTCTAACTTGGCTTCTCATTAATTTTTTGATATTAGTCCCCTGAAGTCCAAAAGAGACATATTCAGCTTATTCGGTATAAAAATTATACAAGAAGCATTGTCAAATATGAAATGGTGTTTGGCATTCCTTGGACTGTATTTGTATAAATGTTATTGGTATGTGTTCCAAAACTATGTAAAACTCCTATAATTCTGATATGACTTAGTGTATGTTATTATTAATAATTTTAATCGTTATATAAAATTGTTGAATGCCATAGAAGTAACCAAAATTCCTGGTCAACTGTGGTTTTAATAATGGCTGTCTTATGACTTTTTGTAATCCACAGATAAATTGCTGTCTTGTTTTGATCCTCTTCAAAAGGTGGTTTATAATCAGCAGTAGGACTTTGATTGGTGCTTTTGAACGAAGGTATCTAACAACTTTGGAAATTGTGACTTTAGAACAAAGGAAAAAAACCTTCAGGACTCTCATGGAGAGCTGGAATGTTCATGAATATCAAACGTAACAGGAGTTAACTGCATGGACTGAACTAACAAGATTGAAGTAATCCCTTTTGATTTTTTTTTTTTTTGCTTAAAACATTGCTGATCCTTCGTTTTGTTTTTCAGAGTCAAGAAAACATTTGAGCAAATTACAGTTGTTAACAATTGAGTAAAATATACTCCTGTAAACAAAATTTGGAGTATACAGCTAGTGCTCGACTTACGACCACGATTGGTTCCGACAGACCGTTCGTAACACGATTTGGTCGTAAGTTGAGTAGGCTATATGCACGCGGAGATGGTAGTGCTGCTGGAAGCTGGTCCGCACTGTCGTACGCCCAGCTGGGCAACGTTTGCGCTGCCAGACGCGGAGCAGTCGTGGCTAGCGATTGTGGTCGTAAAGTCGAATGGTCTTAAGTTGCATAGGTTGTAAGTCAATCAATACCTGTATTTGTTTATCCGATTTCTTCAGAATTTTGAAACTGTTTGCAAGTATTCTTATGACAATATAGTTATTTGCATAAGTGCAATAAGAATCTGGTTTGGTTTTGTTTTGTAACAGGACATAATAGGAGAGACTGGTTATTTTACCAAGGCTTTGACTGGAATGGTATGCTTTCCTTTAAGGAATTAAACTTGACTTACAGAGCCAATAAAACATCTTGGGAAAACTGGCCTCAGAGTCTACACAATCCCTGTACAGGGTTCCTGACTTGTGATAAGTAAAGAATGTCACTTTCTGACAGACCCAGGAGCCCCAAGTTATTCTGAGACCTCAAGAGGAGAGGAATTTACTCAACCATAGGTAGTTGATGGTGTAAAGCCATGGCTGGGCTCAGCTTTTAAAGTCTTATCTGAGAGTCCTTCTATGGAACAAAGTTCCGTCTTAAAAAGCCTATGTGACTGCCCGTGGACACCGCCGAAGAAGCATCGTTAAAGTCCCTCTTCTCCCTGTGATCATGTCTGAGCCTCCTAAAGAGCCGGAACAGCTGAGGAAGCTCTTCATTGGAGGGTTGAGCTTTGAAACAACCGATGAGAGCCTGAGGAGCCATTTTGAGCAATGGGGAACACTCACAGACTATGTGGTAATGAGAGATCCAAACACCAAGCGCTCCAGGGGCTTTGGGTTTGTCACGTATGCCACTGTGGAGGAGGTGGATGCAGCCATGAATGCAAGGCCACACAAAGTGGATGGAAGATTTGTGGAACCAAAGACAGCTGTCTCAAGAGAAGATTCTTAAAGACCAGGTGCCCACTTAACTGTGAAAAAAATATTCGTTAGTGGCATTAAAGAAGACACTGAAGAACATCACCTAAGAGATTATTTTAAACAGTATGGGAAAATTGAAGTGATTGAAATCATGACTGACAGAGGCAGTGGCAAAAAAAAGGGGATTTGCCTTCGTAACCTTGATGACCATGACTCCATGGATAAGATGGTCATTCAGAAATACCATACTGTGAATAGCCACAACTGCGAAGTTAGGAAAGCCCTGTCAGAGCAAGAGATGGCTAGTGCTTTATCCAGCCAAAGAGGTCGAAGTGGTTCTGGAAACTTTGGTGGTGGTTGTGGAGGTGGTTTCGGTGGGAATGACAACTTTGGTCGTGGAGGAAACTTCAGTGCTCATGGTGGCTTTGGTGGCAGCCGTGGTGGTGGCAGATATGGTGGCAGTGGGGATGGCTATAATGGATTTGGTAATGACGGAAGCAATTTTGGAGGGGGTGGAAGCTACAATGATTTTGGCAATTACAACAATCAGTCTTTCCTGGGTTCAAGCAATTATCCTGCCTCAGCCACCTGAGTAGCTGGGACTACAGGCACGTGCCACCACACCTGGCTAATTTTTGTATTTTTAGTAGAGACAGGGTTTCACCATATTGGCCAGGCTGGTCTCAAACTCCCTAACCTCATGATCTGCCTGCCTTGGCCTCCCAAAGTACTGGGATTACAGGCATGGGCCACTGTGCCTAGCCTTTTTTTTTTTTTTTTTTTTTAAGAAAATTGGGACCCTTTTCACAAGATGGCGCCGAAAGCGAAGAAGGAAGCTCCTGCCCCTCCTAAAGCCGAAGCCAAAGCGAAGCCTTTAAAGGCCAAGAAGGCAGTGTTGAAAGGTGTCCACAGCCACAAAAAAAAAGAAGATCCGCACGTCACCCACCTTCCGGCGGCCCGAGACACTGCGACTCCGGAGGCAGCCCAAATATCCTCGGAAGAGCGCCCCAGGAGAAACAAACTGGACCACTATGCTATCATCAAGTTTCCGCTGACCACTGAGTCTGCCACGAAGAAGACAGAAGACAACAACACACTTGTGTTCATTGTGGATGTTAAAGCCAACAAGCACCAGATCAAACAGGCTGTGAAGAAGCTCTAGGACATTGATGTGGCCAAGGTCAACACCCTGATTCGGCCTGATGGAGAGAAGAAGGCATATGTTCGACTACGATGCTTTGGATGTTGCCAACAAAATTGGGATCATCTAAACTGAGTCCAGCTGGCTAATTCTAAATATATGTATATCTTTTCACCATTAAAAAAAAAAAAAAAGAAAGAAAGAAAATTGGCTGGGGCCAAGGGTGAGTGGACGACGCGGCGGGTCCCGGCGAGTCGGAGGTGGGGTCCCTAGTTTCCTCCTCACGCGCCCTCCCTCCGCAGGCGCTGTCCTGCAGCCGAGAGCTGCCTTGCACGTGGCGCGCCTTGCACACCTCCGCGGTCTGCGCCAAGAACCAGGCGGCCCGAGTGCGCGTAAGCAAGGGAGGCAAGCCCGTGACCCACGAGGAGGCACAGGCGCCGCACTTCATCGCCCACGTAAGGGCTGCCTATCGCTGCACACGGGTAACCTGGATGGGGAGGACCATGACGCAGAGCGAACGGTGGAGGATGTTTTCCTTCGCAAGTTCATGTGGGGTACCTTCCCAGGCTGCCTGGCTGGCCAGCTGGTTTTAAAGCGCCAGGCTAACCAGCTGGAGATCTGTGCCCTGGTCCTGAGGCAGTTGCCTGCACACAAATTCTACTTCCTTGTGGGCTATAGTGAAACTTTTCTGTCCCACTTTTTCAAATGTCCTGTTCGACTCCACCTCCAAACTGTGCCCTCAAGGGTTGTGTATATCTAGCATGATCCCCCTTTTTTTGCATCAAGCTGTAGCCTGCAGAGAATGGAAATGTGGGAAAGGAATAGAACGTGAGGAAATACATCCCCTCAGAGGACCGAAGCATGGTCTCAGCTGCTTTTAATAAAGACCCTCAAAAAAAAAAAAGAAAGAAAGAAAATTATTTCCAACACTTATTATTTATTCTTTAATAAATAAAAGAAAATTATTTCCAACACTTATTATTTATTCTTTAACAAAAAGGGAAACTTTGAAGAGGAACTTTTTACTTTTCACAATTCTTTTCTCCTCCCCTGCCCCATTTTTTCTGATTTGAAATCACTGAAAACTAAGCTGTGCTTTCTTAAAGCCCTGCAAACTAAAGCTAGATGACAAACTTCAGAAGCAAATAACAGCAACCTATTTACATGTCTTAGCCACTTTCGTACCTGCCTGCTGCTGTACGGACTTCAGGGTGACACGGCCTATATGTTTTCCAGCCTTGTTCTTTGTTGTTGTTTTCTCCCTTCCTCCCCCTATTTTCTCTTCCTAATAACGTGGGACCTTCCTGTCTAGGAATAAACCATCCTAGCAATGAGAAATCACAGGAAACCTGAGTCCAGAGACTGATTTTCTTCAAAAATGCTTTCTCCGAAAGATTTCAAAAAGAAAAGGGGGAAATATGAAGGGAAAATAAATCTTGGGACCCCCAAATCACTACGCTACAGGGAAAGGTCAAGCTGGGAACTGCTTAGGGCAAACCTGCCTCCTACTCTATTCAAGGTCACCCCTCTGTTCACTGAGATAAATGTATATCTGACTGTCTCCTTCAGAAATGCTAATCAGAAACTCAAAGGAACCTGTTTGTCTCTTACCTACCCACGACCTGGAAACCAAAACCGCCTCCCCATTTCGAGTTGTCCCTGCCTTTCCAGACTGAACCAGTGAACAACTTACATGTATTGATTGATGTCTCATGCCTTCCTAAAATACGTAAAAGCAAGCTATGCCCCAATACCCCGGGCACCTGTCGTCAGCACCTCCTCAGGCTGTGTCACAGGCGTGCATCCGTAACTCTGGCAAAATAATCTTCTTAAATCGCCTGAGACCTTTCTCAGATATTTTGTGTTCCCAGGGAATTATCGTTTTCTGGGTATGATCATAAAACTGTGTTTCTGTGATCGTTATAAAACTTGCTTGTGTTCGAGACTTTTCCTGAAGAATTTACAAGTAAAGGATATTTTATTCTTGATTGCTTTAAAATACTCTAGCAAATGAAAAAAGTGGTGGGGAGGATAGAGTATAAATAAGAGCAACATAATGTTGCTCACTGTTGAAACTGAGTGATGTGTGCATGGACGCTTATTACACCATTCTCTCTACTTTGTGTATGTTTGACATTTTCCATAATAAAAAGGTTTTAATTCCCTCATTCGCATCATCCCAGGTGAAGCCATTGAGCTAAAAAGGCCAAGGTCAAGTGTGAGATCAAATACAAATTTTAATATAAATTACTTTCTTTAAGTTGCTTTCTTTGAGCAAAGGTCACCGCTGGGGATAAGTCCCATGGTGCCTGACCTACCCCTGCTGCCAGAGCCAGCCCATCTGGCCGCACACTGAAGGCCCACTTCAGCAGGCTGCTAGAGACTGCCTGGCTCTATAGCCCGGCTCTGCCCACCTGGGGCCACAAGGCCTCAGGACCAGACCAGCCCTTGCCCCACCCACAGCTGCTGGGCAGCCAGAGCCATCACCTTTAGCACTGGTTGCTGGTGCTTTGTTGGTAGAGATCACTCTTAACCCCCACTTCTGCCCCTGGAAGGGTTTCAGCTTTGACCCTGGGGGACCTGCCCAGGGCGGGCTGAGAGCCCTTGAACTTTTAACCTGAGGGCCTTTATTGGATAGGACCACTTCCCATTTCTTCCCTAGAGAAAACACATGGGCTTCGGAGCCAGGCAGACCTGGGCCTGAATCCTGGCCGGCATTCCTTGCTGCGGGACCTGGGTAAGACACTTCACCTCTGCTGAGCCCCCATTCCCTAACTATGAAATAGAACAACGCAACCGACCTCACAGAGTTGCTGTGTGAATGCTGTCTGACACGCATCTCATTACGGTTTGGTCTCTGCTTCCTCCCCGGGACAGGGCCTGGAATCAGAGGCTGAGAACCTTCCTGAAGAAAGTCTTCATGTGTCCTAGGACTTGGCTATCTTAGAGTGGTACACTGTGCAGTGGATGTGGCTCACATTCTAGACTCTCACCCCACCAGCATTTGCGGTCGGGTTGCCCCAACCCCTGAGCCTGGAGCTTCCTGAGGGAACCTGCCCTGGCCTCTCCCAATCCCCACTATTGGTGCAGAGATGCAGTCTGGGGCTGGCATCCTTGTTCTGGGCCTGCTGCTCCCACCCCAGGATGCCCCGGGCCTGTCCTCAGTGGCTTCCCTGCACTGCTTCTCCTACCCCAGGCGTTATTCCCAGGAAATGTGTTTTTTGGAAGCCAAGCAGCTGCTGGGATTCAGGGACTGTTTCAGGCTGGCTGAGCGGCAGCTCAGTCCTAGAGGGTCTCTGAAGATCTGGACTGGGAATCCCAGTACTCCCTAAGCCAGAGCCCACCAGCCAGGCCTGCTATGGCCACCTGCCTGAGGGCTGCTGGGCTGAGCCGAGCCTGGCAAGCTCTGGGCCTTATTTAAGGGTTTGTGTTAAGCCTGTGGGCCCTGGAGGCAGGCCGTTAAGGCATCTGGCTTGTCTTGAGGGGGAAAAATTTGCTTTCTTTGGTCTTGGATATCTTTTAACAGATAAAAGTTAAAATATTATGGAAAATGAAAAGACTGCTGTCACAGTCTGTTAATCCCATATGGTTCCCATGAGAAGGGTAAACAGTTACATGGCAGTTTTATGGTATCCAGGGCCCACTATAGGAAAATGTCCCAAAGGGCTCTCTGAACTGTTTTTACTCACATCACTTCAAACGCCAGCGTGTGGATTGTGTGGAGTTTTTACACACCAACAACAACCAATTCTCCAATTCTCTGGACACCAAGTAGGTGTCCAACAATTCCATTTAATTCTGGCACAACTACGTGGAGTTAGTGCAGGCTCGACCTGTTAAGGGCTCAGTCCCACAACGCTGCCCCCACTTCAAATACCAGTTCAAAGTCCCAGGTTACCACATGTACTACTGACCAACCAAATGTAAATCGGAGGTTTCTATGACCCCTTCTTCAGTTTTGAGAATTTGCTAGAATGGCTCACAAAACTCATGGAAACACTTTACTTGGGTTTATTGGTTTATTACAAAGGACACCAGTGAGCAACCAGTGAAGAGGCGCCTAGGGCGAGGTCTGGAAGGGGACTGAGCACAGGAGCTTCTGTCTCCATCAAGTCTGAGGTGCACCACCCTCCTGGCATGGGAATGTGTTCACTGACCCAGATGGTCCTGAACCCCTCTGTTTTGGGATTTTTACAAAGGCTTCATTGCATAGGCATAATTGATTAAATCATTGGCCACTGATGAGTAACTCACTCTCCAGCTCAGCTCCTCCCCCTAGAGGTCCCAGGATGGAGCTGAAAGTTCCAACCCTCTAATCATGATTGGTTCCTCTGACCTCCAGCCCCCTAGCTATCCAGGGGCCACCAAGACTCATTATTAGCAACAACTCAGGTACTGGTGAAAAGGGCTGTTTATGAATAACAAAAGATATCCTTAACACCCCATCACTCAGAAAATTCCAAGTTTTTGGAAACTCTGTGTCAGCAACTGAGGACAAAGACCAGATGTATATTTCTTACTGTATCACCATCTCTCTCTCTGTTTTTTTTTTTTTTTGCTGTGGAACCTCATATAGTCTGAACATATGTATCACCCGCTCTCCAACCCTCCACTCTTCCTTTTCTTCTTTTTCTTCATCAATAGGAGAAGATGGAGGAAAACATTGAAGCCTGAAGTAATCTCTTATTTGACTAGTTAAAACAATGAAACTATGGGAACTTTAGGACCTTTGGTTTGAGAATCTCTGGTTTGATATTAACATAAGTACATTAAGGCTACAAGGACAATCCTTTGAAATTTCCAGCAGAGGCCAGCTTTTTTCTATTAGATAGAGTATCATTTGGAAAGCATGTCCTCTTCTGTACATTCTTCCTTTGAGAACTGACTGGCCACTGGACTCCAAGAGATTATAAAAACCCTTAAGAGGGGTTTCAGGATAGCTGACTGAGGCACCAGGCAGCACTTGCCTCCTCCACAAAGAATGACCAACACGACAAGTAGATAACCACATGTCGAATAGA